TGGGATTTGAGGTTCCTTGTGTTGTTAAATATCACATTGATTCAAATGTTGTGGGACAGGCAAACACACCACTTTTGTTGTTTTAAAATTTACTTTGATAAACACTGGGAAAAGTTCTAGCGAAACTCAGCGCGGTAGAAGCATAGGCACAAAGACATACTTGTGAGACTCCCATTCAAAGCCTAGCTGTTCACTGTAGACTCATTGGATTATCTCCACTGCTTAAATCAACATTTGATGATCATCCAATTACCGTAATTTCATTACCCATGAAGATGCAGAAACTCTTGACTATGGAGTTCTACGACATAAGCACTAATCATCGAACAGAGTGGCTTCTTCACTAATTAATCAATTCTTCTCAAATTGCAACCCATGCGTCCACCTCCGGAAAGCAACATATGTACCCGAAAGGAATCAGTTCATGCCTGATTTCTATACCCTCAAGTCATGGGCCCTTACGTGAGACCAGGACAAGTGTGGTTTAGTTTAGCTGTACTTTGAGTTTCAGGTTGCTAGTTGGCTCCGCGAAGAGACAAACAGACTATTAAAACAAGGAAATGTTAAGCATGCGTATACCTGAAATAGTTCACGAACTGAAAGGTGCAAATGTGAGCTCCAATGACCTTAAATTCTCCCCGTCATCTTAACACTTGCTTCCACACGCACTTTAATCGGCCTCCAATTCCTTTCTTTAAGTTGTTTCGGTACTTAATTTGCTTTCGAGCGCCACTAAATAGACCCATACCTGTGTAACAGCTGATGTGGCATTGCTTTGTACATTAGCATGATAGAATAAATTAAGCCATAGAAGCCAAAAGAACACTTCATTACAATATAGGTGGTCCCATGACTTACTACAGTAGATCCTCATGTAAATTCTTATTCAATACAGGATGACATGATTAGCTGACTGCTAGGCTGCACGGGTACGGGTATGGACACGGTTACGGGTACGAGACACGGCAAATTTGTAAAAAGTAGGGTACAGGGACACGGCTCATATATATATATATATATATATAAAAGTAAACTCATTTGAAACTTTGACTTTATATTCCACATAAGCATCAAAAAAGAATAAATAAATAAATAAATAGGTACGTATATACATACATATACACTTACCTATTTAAACATGAGAACACATGTCTCCCATTCTTAGCATTGTCATTAATTTTAAAGAAAAGACAAAAGCAAATAGTTAAGCACTCATGTGAATGGTGATGTCATGTTCCACTAACAAATTTAAAACTAAGGAAATAAGAGAGAGTCTTCTTCTTTTTTGCATCTATCTAAACCTATTTTCCTCTGCTCCAAAACTCTCGTGCCCCCTCCGTTTGGGTGCTGAAATGTATCCAAACCGCAGCTGACACGGGTACGACGCCAAAATTGCTATGTCGGGTATCATAGGCTGACTGAGATTAGTGATTATTTTATAATGACAATAAATGAGAACTACCTTAGTTTGGCTGCATCTAACTCATACTGTGCCTTGCACAGCTATATAAACTTCATATGTACTCTTCATCAGAACTCAACCTTGAAGATGTCAAACTCGGCTCTCATAATCACTGTTCTCCTCTTCCTTTCTTCCTCTAATCACTTCCCCCAATGTCAAGCCCAACCTAAGACAAACTCAACCTCTCTAGTTCTCCCTATGACCCATTCTAGACTAGCTATCTCAAAGTCCTCGACGAATACGAAAATTCAGGAAAGTTTAGAATACGTGATAGAACCACTGAGAGGATTCAGAGATGGATACCTCATCTCATTAAACTTGGGCTCGCCTCCACAAATTGTACAAGCCTACATGGACACAGGAAGTGATCTCACTTGGGTCCCATGTGGCAGTATACCCTTTGATTGCATTGAGTGTGACGAGTACAAAACCTACGAGTTAGCTTTCACATTTTCTCCTTCCCGCTCTTCTTCAATCTTTCGAGATCTTTGCACTAGCCCATTATGTGCTGATATTCACAGCTCAGACAATCCTTATGATCCTTGTGCAACTGCAGGCTGCCCTTTGAGATCCCTCTTGAGGGGAACTTGCCCAAGGCCTTGCCCTTCTTTCTCCTATAACTATGATGCAGGAGGATTGATTGTCGGAAGCCTAACTAGAGACATTCTCAGGGTTCACGGTAGTCATGGCCCAGGTTATCATATATTCCATCAGCTGTGAATCCAATTATTAATAACTTAATACATGCATTCACTTTTAAAATGTTAATATTAATATTGACTTCCAGTTTTCCTACACTGATGGTATCCATGTAGGAAGGCTACACAGTCACTGATGGAAGTAGCCCCACAAGGGAACTTAATAGGGGGGCCTTCTGTCAGTGTGTGTATGGTTCCTACACAAATTCTACATGTGAAGTCAAGAATTAGACTTCGAAGAATGTCCTAAGAGCAATCTCTATGGATAGGGGCTTGTAGTATTGTCTATCTAGGATACATTTGGCACAGAAGGAAAGGTAGAAGCTCTAGTATTCTGTTCAGACGTCACATTGTTGGAACTAAGCAACTTGCACCAGGAAGTATAGGCAAACTTGCATTATCCTTGGTGGCGCATGTTTAGGATCCTTAGTTTTCGCATGTATGTGATGTAAAAAATGATGGTGGATTAAATTACTCAAAAAAGAAAATTCATCGCTAATAACTTTTTGATATAGGTCTGACGAGAGATATCCCCAGCTTCTGCTTCGGATGTGTCGGGTCATCCTTCAGAGAGCCCATCGGAATTGCAAGTTTTGGCAAGGGTGCACTTTCCATCCCTTCACAACTTGGATACCTCCAAAAGGGCTTCTCTCATTGCTTCCTAGGTTTCAAGTATGCTAATAATCCAAACATATCGAGCCCTTTGGTTATCGGTGACGATGCAGTCTCTTCCAGTCAAAACTTTCAGTTCACACAAATGCTAAAGAATCCTGTGTACCCCAGCTACTACTACATTGGTCTAGAAGGGATAATTGTTGGGAATGACAGTCCACTTGATGTACCATCAAGCTTGCGCGTTTTTGATACAGGAGGAAATGGAGGATTGCTGATTGATTCTGGAACAACTTACACTCACCTTCCAGAGCCATTATACTCACAGCTGCTCTCAGAGCTGAAATCAAAGATAACATACACAAGATCTAGTGACGACGAGGACAGGACTGGATTCGATCTTTGTTACAAAGTCCCAGTTGCTAATAACTCACAGTCTGATGATTTACCTCTCATAACCTTCAACTTTTTGGGCAATGTGGAGCTTGTATTGCCCAAAGAAAACTCCTTCTATGTTGTGGGGGCTCCAAAGGAGTCAATGGTAGCTAAATGCTTACTGTTGCAGAGCATGGAGGATGGTGACTATGGGCCAACTGGGGTATTTGGGAGTTTTCAGCAGCAAAATGTGGAGGTTTTGTATGATTTAGAGAAGGAAAGGATTGGATTCCAGCCAAGGGACTGTGCTTCCTCTGCAGCCAATCATGGGCTTTATCTCAAGTAATGGTACTGAGATTTGGCAGTTGACAGTTGGTAGATGGCAATCTCTTAGTTATGCTGAGAAGATGTTAACTAAGAAAAAGAACCGCAGGTAATGAAAACAGGTAATGTGGTTGAAGGCTTACCTTGAATGGTATCGTGCTCTATGAATCGTGGGTTGCTTTAGGCAAGTGAGTCAGATTGCAATCCTTTTCTGTGTTCAAGGGACAAAGAAAAGTGCTGTTGTTTGTTTATTCAAAAAAGAACGAGAGCTCTTCTAAAAGCATGTAATCACAATTCATGCATCCTTATTAGTGTGAGAGTTCTTAGTTTAATTGTGATCAGCTATCAGTTAACTATCACCATGCTTAATTAAAGAAGAAATCAAAAAGAAAAGCAGTAAGTCATTTTGGAACTCAGAAGTTAGGGGAAGAAATCACTAACACCCTTATCAGGCCAAACCAGATGTTTAACTGGATGCAAGTCACAAACCTAATACATGAGTGAATGGCTTTTCTTCAGGTTTGTTGTTCGTGGATTCAGCTGACCAAAGAAAGACCATAAAGAATCAACTCTTGCATGAGAATGTCAATATAAACGCTCACTGTAATTGAACATTCTAAAATTTCACGATCTAGATTGAAAGCTGAAATTTCTACAAGAAGAAAACTCTCGGAAGGACGTTGCTAATATCTAAGCAGAACATGAGCAGTTAAGTCTGCTTCCAACAAAAGAAAGGATTTAAACATCTCCAACATTGTACAGCCTAGTAACAATTCTCAACTAGTACAAGGAAAGCTAAAATGATTTTCATAGGACAAACAACAAAGATAGTGTCATATAGCCTTGGATCCATAGTTCTTAATCAAAAGTACCACAAGAATAGCAACAAAGTGGGTTATTTCATCAGCTTGACGATCAAAATGAGAATTATGACAAAGTTATTTCACAGTCTCATCATTCAGTGCCAATGCGGAGGGAAAAAGGGGCTAATTCCACAAAACCCTCGAACTTTTGGGGTTCTTTTCCCCATATAACCAACCTGAACTCTGTTTATCTCACATAACCCTTCTTGAACTTTGAGGTGTCTCACAAAACCGCCATGAACTCTGAACTTTCTCACTGGATCCAGCTACATCAAATTTGCAAATAAATACAATTTCCTTCAGAGAGGAAAACCCCAAAATTTAGGGAAGGGGTATGTCACCTTTAAATGACAAATTTTGAGATATTTTTATCTCAAGGACATTTTAATTATGTGCAAACTACAAGTAGGGCCTCCGGTGAGAAAATGTCGATAAAAGTTTGAAGTTTAGGGGGATTATGTGAGATAAATAAATCTCAGGGGGGTATATGAAGAAAACCCAAAGTTTAGGGGTAATATCTAATAGGGTAATATCTAATACTATTATAAAAGTGGATTGGGATGTTAAAACATTTCTTCCGAAAATAACCTTTAAAACATATACATATATACATAAAATACATGCATCCATACATAAATCATAACATAACCCCCAATTAAATGCATATTCATAATACATAAAATACATGTAGTCATGGATCCATACATAAATTATAGCATAACCCCCAATTAAATGCGTACCCATAACTCCCAAATAATTTTATTTTAAAAGTCATAAATGTGCAAGTCATAACCCCAATTAAATGCATACTCATAACTCCCAAATGGTTTTATTTCAAAAGTTATAAACGTGGTATAAATGGTTTTTATTTTGTGGTAATCATAATATTTAAATAGAATGGTTATGATAACAATAATAAATTAAAACTCGAAACAAATGCACTTTTAATTATGTACTAAATGTTGTTTACACTTTTGTAATCTCCCATCATCAAATTCGGTTATGATAATAGCAAAATGAAGTAAAGAATGTAAGAAACTAAAAATTAAGTTTGCATGATCATTTCTTATTTCCACCTCACATAATTTGAACATAATAGGATGGAGACACAATTGTTAAAGCACAAAAGACACATTTACTAATTTTCCTTCTCAACTAATCGTATGACACTATTAATCTTCTTTAACTCCTCATTCAAATCAAAACCCTCTTCATCTCCTCCGCATCATAACCTCTACATTCAACAATATATAACTCCCCCATCCCCGCCTCCTTCTCAACAATCCATTCACCATAACAAAGAGTACCGATATCTCTCCTGTAAAACATAGCTTGCCGAAATAATCTATCATTTTCGCGCCGACAAACCCAATCATTTCTCAATTTCGCGTATCGATCAACCTTGATGACAACGGTCTTTTGGACTATTAGAGCGAGATGATGTAACTCCAACATCAGTGCTATAATAAGATCGTATTATTCTTCGTCAATGATGAATATCACATGGCCTCGACTGCAGATGATAAGCTAGCTTCATCTCATTTTCATTTTTAGTTTCTGTACACAGTTATCTATGCTTTCTGCGGGATGTCTATGCTATTATACTTTGTATCGTAGTTTAAAAGGAAAAAGTTTCCCTCCATTCGTAATTCACTTTGTTGTGATTAATATTGTTGAAAGTTACAACAACCAGATTTGAGAAATTGATAAACATGTGACTGAGCTTAAAGCTTTCATAAACATTAGTCAAAGTTCATATTATCATGCCCTTGAACTGTTGCTTTCCTCCATTGTGCTTACACATGAAAGTGGTTACACGTGCATCGCACGTGCACTCTACTAGTAAACCCAAAAAGAAATATACACGGTAAACTATAACAATGCTATCAATTCCTGAGGAGAATAGAAAAAACCCTAATCGCCTTCATTTTGAGCATAAAAAACAACCTGGAATTCAACAGAGCGCCCTTTAGCCAACAGCATAGTTTTACTAGATTTCTCTGTTCCAAAGTCTCTCAGAGAACTTGTTACACAAGTAATTTGCATATGAATTAGCATAAAAATTTGATTAAATTTACAAGTTCAAATTAATAAAATTACTAAAATTAAATGATAATTTCGAAGAAATTACTCATATAACCCACGAGTAAGGGTTTGTAGTTACAGTTCACGTGCAATTTATCGCTAGAAGTAACAGGACCTAGCTCCGAATTCTTATCGAATAAAATTTTAAAAAAAATTACCACCTTGGCGTTCTTGATCTTGCTTGCAGAAATCGAAAAAAATTACCACCTTGGCGTTCTTGATCTTGCTTCCAGAAATCGAAACAGTCAGAAGAAGTTGTAATTTAGGGGTTCTTTTAGGGCATGTTTGGATTTGTAGGGGGTGAAGGGAAGCTGAGTGAAATTGAGAGAAGGGAAGGGAAGAGAGTTCCCTTCCCCTTGGTGACATTCTAATTTGGGGTAACAAATTTTATACTATTAGGGGTGAACCAAGGGGAACTAGGGTGAATTAACTTCACCTCCTAAGTATTCCCAAATAAGATGAATGGAAGTGAATGGTTCCCCTAACTTCCCTTCACCTCATTCCCCTCAATCTAAGCAAGCCCTTAAGAAGCGGGAAGAATTCTTTTAGGGTCTGTTTGTTTCGTTTCCCCCCGAATCTAAAACCCACATTCCTTCACTTTTTTATTTTTCTCTACTTTCTTTAACTCACTTTCCTTCACTTTCTCCAGTTTCCCCCAATAATTTATTTTCTTTCCCCCACTTTCTAAATTTTTTGCGAAACAAACAGGCCCTTACTCGAAAAAGTTTAGACTGGATTTTTATAGAATCGGGATACACTTCCGTGGACCTACGGAACTGTTTAATCACCGATTATATAGCCTGATATTATGAGCAGCGGGAAATTACATATTAGTCCCTTACATTCCATCAATCTTTATTGGTAACAAGTCCCTCAAATCTCAATATTTGCTTGTTAGTCCCTTAAATCTTCATTTACATTGCAATCTCATCCCTCTATTAGGAATTCTGTTAAATTCTCTAATCCTAGTGGGGTTAAGTCTTAACGGCTTAACCCCACATCCAAAATTACCCAAGTGCCCATGAGTTTTTTACATAGGGTTTTCTCTAACTCTAATTTAGATTATGACCGTTAGAAAAAGCTCTGGAATGGGGATGAGAATCTCCTGACTATTGTAGAAGAACAAATTGATGGGGTTGGGTTTTAGTTGGAGCGAGTTGTGAGTACATACTAATTATAAAATGGGTTGGAAATGTTTTTAGATGCCAGGGTTAATTATGAGTGGTGGTATAACAGGAAAATCGTCTAATTCCATTAGAGTTAACAAAAAGGTCACTCTCATAAATAACATCACCCAACAAAAGGGATGAATATGCAAGAAGATTAAAGATTTGAGGTATTGATAAGTAAATACTAAGACTTGAGGGATTATGTTGAAATTAAAGATGATGTAAAGGACGAACATGCAATGACGCGTATAAACAAGGCAGCGTCTACCTTATATGAATTTTATGCTGGGGTCATGAGATGAGACAAAAGAGGCATCTGTTGGGCCTAGAATGAGGATTACCTGTGTACGCTTTTGGCCCAAACCTCAGAACAGCAAGACTTTCTTACTGGGCTCCTCCCAGCAATTTCGCAGAAGTGCCCTTAACAAATCTCTTACAGAACAAGGTTCTAAAAACAAGTGCGTGAGAATGCAGGGCTTCGCAGTAATTTACCCCAATACGTTTTCTTGCAATCGCCACCCCCACCAGGAAGTCCCACTAGTACCAAACCTGACGGCCTCGAGCTAACCCCCTTGTCTTATGACAACAAGTCCACCAAAAACCCTAATTATTACCTCCATCTTCTTCTCGATCCTCGATCATGGCCTCTAATGGAAATTCTCCGGTCAGTTCTCTTCCCCTCACGATCACATGACTGCTTAATTTTGTATTAGCTAGGTTTTTTTTTTCTTGCGCAAATTGATTTGATTGTGTTGCCAATTGAGTGGACCTTGTTGTGGGATTTCAGAGAGCGGGGGAAACTGAGAGCAGCTTGGAGAAGATCAAGCGGCAGCTGTCTTCGGGTTCGGGTAGGAATCTGCTGCAAGGCCCGCTTCTTAAACGATCCGAGACGGTGAGATTTTTAGGGCTTTGATTGTTTAGATTTAGTAACTGTTGAATAAAAAACTCTTAAAAAATTATCATTTTGGCTTGATTTATTGTGAGTTGAAGAATTATCGTGGGTCAATACGTTTGAGATCTTGACTATGAAGTGAATTGAACTTATTTAATGGAATTATAGACGTTGCAGTGAATCCTTAAGGATGCGTGTTTATCTAAGAACCTACTAAAGGGCTCTGCATCCTTAGTTCAATGTTTGATTTATCATCATCATCATCATCATCATCATGGTAATGAGTTAATTGAGATAGTGCTTCAATTTTTCTGTTTAGCGGTTCTTGCTACGATGTTATAATTTCACTATGATGAGGAAGTGCTAATTCCAAGTGAATCATTTTTTCTAAAACTTATCACGAGTTGTTGAATTTCTCTTTCTTTTCTTTCTGACCTTCGATTATACAGTTGAGGAAGTGGAATGAGCGATGGGTGATCCTAGACCCAACCACTGGAAAAATGGAATACAAGTATGCGTCTTAGATTTAGATAACATGTTGTTCAAGTTCCTTATTTAGTATTATTAGACATGGTTTTCCCCCCTTGGCTTAGGTTTCGGCGAAATGACACGGCTGTGAAAGGAACAATTATATTTGATGCGACCAGCACGATTACTCTGTCTCCAGTGAACTTCCAGTAAGATTTCCATCAATATAATCATGCTTCAAAAGATATTTACTCGTGGGCTGAGGCGCTTGCAAAATTATTTGTTATTTATATTTATAATTTTATTTCTGTCTTGCAGTGGACTGCCTAAATATGACAGCTGCTGCTTTTGTATCCTTGTAAATGTGTGACAACATCTAATATTAACTGCCAAATTTTTACTTAAACCTTTCGACCTGCCTGGTTATCAACTCTTTCAGCTTTCAGGTATCTTATCTGATCTTTCATTTCTTAACTTTATCCCTAGATATCGGGACTCCACAGAAAAAAGATTACTTCCTCTGTGCGGAGACTCCTGGTGCTGCAAGAGCTTGGGTATCTACTTTGCAGTAAGCTTATGGAACATGACTTTTTGCTATATCATAGGACGTGCATTGTTTAAATTCAGCTGCCTGTTACCCTTTATTACTTTATCAGCTGGTTATTAAGAAACATATTCATGAAAGATCTGTGAATAGCTAGCCATATGCCAAGTATTATGTAGTTCATTTGGATAATTCAGATACATATCTTTTTTATCAAATTCTATTTCTTGTTGTTTTTATTATAAACCAAAAATGTTTTAGTACAACTCAAACATGACAACACTCATCAGTCCTCAAGAAGCTCATACGGTGGTGTCTAGTCATACTTAGTTAGCAATGGTGTGAAGTAAAATTAATCCAGCATTAGTCACATTTGAGTTGGTACTTCATCTGTACGGTGATTCTAAATTCATTTATGGAATCTGCAACCTTTAAAGCTGTAAGAGTATATGTTTTCAGTTACTTATAACTTAGTGGTCCAAATAAAAGGTCTTGAATATTTGGGCATAGTTCTAGAAGGTGGTATATGCTTCGCTTATGCATAAAATTAGTAGACCTTTTTTCGTTTATGAATCTTCATGGTCGAAGAATGCTAAGAAGTTATCTTTGATACCTTAAACCTGTACTATGTTCGCCATCTAAATATTGATGTATCCCATACACCAAGACAATGAGGACATGATACACATGTCCATATATGTCTCATGCTTACAAATGTATTAGCCATGTGCAAGAAGGATCTAAAAAACAAGTAGTTGTCCTTCTATGCAGTTAAATTGTGATATATCAACCCACCGCTGTCTTGGGATCAATTCTGGGCTGGGTTATCCAACAAAAAAAAAGTGATATATCAAAGTGCCTTTGGTTGCAACATTGTGGAGATTTCAGAAGTTGTACAGGATGATGATTCAGTCTTGTACTTGTGTTATGGCTGTAGGATTCATATTGATGATTCTAGGTCAGGTTAGCCAGGGTTTGTTGGTTGATTAATTGTTCTCAATGCTTAGATGATGATTCTCTACTAAGTTAGTCCTGATATACTTTCATTTAACAATTCTCAAATTAAACCACACTCCACGGTAACAAGTCTTTTAAGTTAAACGATGTGTTTCTGAATTCTGTTATTAAATTACTGCAAAATTGCATAAAAATCCCCATGGCTATGGTAGTCCAAGTACTACTAACCCTTGAAATCATTAATTAGCTGGTGAAACTCTTCTTGCAGTAAGCCCATCTGCTAATTACATGTCAGAGGGCTGCAAGTGATGCTATTAAAGGGGTGCTCGTAAAACTTTTTCCCCTCCTTTTTTAATATTATTCATATTTTAGATTATATATGCAATTTTGCTCTAAAATTAAATTGGCATCATTTAACAATCAGATTTGTTTCGTAGTAAGTACATAGTAAGCGACCATTGTTCCTCAGTTCTAGTTGTGTTGCTTCCTATTCAGGGCAAGCCAATTAGTGTTGCGGGCTCATAAAGAGGCTGTTAATTCATTAAGTGGCAATGGTTCTGCAAAGCTGGGAACAGTTGCCACTGTTGTTGCTGCTGCCAACTCTACTGCAGCTGAAGCCTCAAAAGAAATTGAAGCAGCAATGAAGATATCTATGAGGGCAGCTCTTGGCCTAGTGTCAAACAAGGCAAATGAGGGTCAACCAGATGACCTGACAATAATGAAGGTATGCCAGTATACAATGATGAGTATGTGTCATTTTTTTTTTAAATGGACCATTAACCAGAATTTATGCCTGGCAGATTGACCTTATTTGATCTGACAATAATTATGGTATATGATGATTAAGTTCCAGTTTCAGATTGATATAGTGCCCATTACTCTGATTTGTTGGACGTGTGGATTTTTGTCACTTCTGGTATGAGAATGTGATTCTAAACACATTTCAACTAATGCTGATATTAACTAGCCACCATAGTTCTTAATATAGTCTTTTTTTTTCATTACAAGTTTTTTGCCTGTGTTTTATACTATGACAAGCCACGATGAACTCAAGTGGTGAAAATAAATTATATGCACAGTTCTCCATGAAAGTGGTTAATCAATTAGGTGATACTTGACACTAGCCCTTTCAGCATATCACATGCACCAAAGTCAAGACTGTATTTTGTCTGTTCCAATAGTGGATGAACTGTTGGATTGTTTATCAGTCTGAATAAAGAGTTGAGCATTAAAAAATAAGAAAGACTGTAGTTTAGTTTTCATACATCAAATGGCTTGCAAAAAAAGTGTATATTTGGGCAAGTTGCAGATGAAATGCAGGTGGACTACCTAGAAGATAAGAGCTAGTTCAAAAGATTGGAGAGGCCTAAAATGGACTAAGATAAACCGTCTTAAGAGAGAATATAATACGACTATAAATTTAGGATAACAAATACAAGTGAGAAAAGATTTGGAAGAGGCATGTTGAGAGTGGACATGGATCTGAATAGAATGAACAGCAAGGAATTACTGACAAGTTCAGGTCAGTTGGGGTAAATTTGTAGGTGTAGCCTATATATCTTTTACTGGTGGGCTACTGGTGTTTGGTAAGTCAAAAGTTGATGCTTGCTATGGCCTAAGAGCAAGTGCAAGTAGATCCCTTTTTGCTTTAGTTAGCAGTCTCATGTAGTTCCTGTTGTTTCATAACATATCCGGCAACTGGGGTGGGAGGGGTGGAGGACATATACAATTCGGTGGATAGCAGAACATTCAACCTCAATATTTCATCTGCATGTCTCATGAGTCGTAAACTTCATGGACAAGGGTTATGTGCCACCTGGTTTCTTTTAGGTTCTAACCTTGACAGCAAAGTCTTGGAAAGATGTGAAGGTGTGTGATTGAAGGGCCATGTCCCATTAGAGCTAAGGTGTTTTCCTTCTACTAAAGTGATTAGTTGGTTGTATCCCGTGGCTGGTGCTAAGAGCTTCATACTCAGTTCCTATGATGCTCTTACTGTGATTTGTCCCAGCTCATTTCCTATTACTATCTGTTGTCATTAAAAATCAATCCTTAACTCTTATAAAAGTTAATTTAGAACTCTCTTTTGTGGGACTGCAAGATATTAACATCATACCTGTCCTTCTTGGTCTGATACATGGTGTGTTACTGTGTTATTCATTGACTTATGTACTAGTATCGTATCGTTTTAAATTAGATTATAACATTGCTTCTGAAAACTAATGTTTGAATTGGAAATTTTGTTGGGTAGCTATTTACTCATTTAAAGATCCACTTAAGACCGCTTATTGTAGTCTGTAAGTAACTATTAAGATCCCATGACACATTCTGCGAATCATTATCTTGTGTCGTTATCATAGGCTAAGAGCAAGCTACATCTTTAGTAGTTATTTACATGTGCCTTCTTTTCTTGGATTTGATTTGTATTCTGTAGGAGACTCTTAGAGTAAAAGATGAAGAATTACAACAGTTGGCAAAGGAACTCCGAGCAAGGGATTCCACCATAAAGGAGATAGCAGAAAAATTGACAGAAACTGCTGAAGCTGCTGAGTCTGCTGCATCTGCAGCTCTTACAATGGATGAAGAGAGAAGATTTGCATGTGTAGAAATTGAAAGGTTAACCATGGAGATGGGGAAGCACTTGGAGTCGTCCCAGCTCAAGGTGCTAGTTCTTCTATCTCCTACAGGGTCGTTACTGAGTCTGTAAACATGGAACTGTAAGCTCAAATGGTCTTGTCATTACATTAAAATGCCGAGAGGGATTTGTGAAGGGGAGAGAATGCTTACAGTTCCTACTTTCTTGAAGCAAATTCATTAACTAATTTAAATATCAATTCATGACCTTATCCATTCTTTGTCCATTGTTTTTGCTAGTTATTTGTAGGTCCAACTTCCTTCACAAGGTCATATTGTTCTACTTTCTTGAAGCAAATCCATTAAGTAATCTAAATATCAATTCATGACCTTATCCAGTCTTTTTCCATTGTTTTTGCAAGTTTTTTCCAGGTCCAACTTCCTCCACAAATATTACAAAAATGTTTGCAGATCTTGAACCATTTTGAATATTTCCTTCTGTTGAAAGATCTATGTGGACCAATGTAGAAAAAGAAAATCATCACAAGAATATTTTGAATAAAAATGAGGTATGGCATTGTTAACTGCGTGCATAATCAAAGTTCTCCTTGGCATTGTTAGATGCATGCTTTGTCGGATGCATGCAGATCTTGATGTATGCAGATCTTGAACCTATTCTGAGTTTTTAAATTGGCAATCCAATCAAGTAATATTGATTCAAATACTTTGGAACCCTTGTACACCAAAATTTAATTGTTTAGAATATTTTAGCTGGTAAACTGAGCAACTTGCCATTTGAACTTTCAAGCTTAAAGTCAGTCGATGTATTAATTATGAAACCACAAAAATGTATGACTTTATTTTTAAGCACTATGAATGATTTATCATGTTTAATTGCGTAGAACTTTCATTTGAGGTTCACAATGTGACTACTTGATAACATCCAAACTCAAAGACAATATGAAAGATCCTAGTCAAACTCTTGTTATAATTCAAATTATTTTTTATCTTGTTATACTTCTACTTCACTTCTAGCCTGGATATTTTGTAAATGACACCTTTATTCAAGATATTTTTACCTTTCCTTTTCTATTATCATTTTTACAGTTGAAGGAAGCAGAAGCAAATGTGCTTGCGCTAAGCAACGAAAAGGAGGCTCTGTTAAAGCAGAGAGATTCTGCCCTCCAGGAGGCACACATGTGGCGTTCTGAGCTTGCCAAAGCTAGAGAACGTGCTGTGATACTGGAAGCAGCTGTTCTTAGAGCTGAAGAAAGGGCAAGAGTTTCAGAGGCAGACGCTGAGACTCGTGCAAAAGATGCTGCAGAAAAAGTACGTGCTGCTACAAAAGAAAAGGAAGATCTCATGGCAGTTGTGAACATTTTGCAATCACAAGTTCAAAGGTTTCAGTTTTAATCTCTTTCTTCCCACTTGCATTGATTATTCTTTCACTGAATACTGAACTCGGAGCAGCTTGCCTTTATTAGAAAGAAATTACAAAGTTAGAGCGTAAACAAGCTATCATCACAAGGATAACTTTAGTCATCTATATATTGTAGGGTAATTATTATGAACGCTCCTGAAATGTGGTCGCTTATTATAAAGCCCCCTAATGTTATCTTTTTATTACAAAACACCCTGCAGTTAGAAAAAACGTTAAAGCCTAGGTTACACAGACACTTCATCTAGGCTCCCGTATCCATGACTGTATCCGCGTCCGTGTCTGACACTTCTTGGATACTTCTTGAATATATACATACATTTTCAGACGTGTACTCAATTATATAACACATGTTTTAGTATACTCAATTATATAACACGTGCTTTAGTTCAAGATACTTGTGATACACTTCTTCAATGTATATCGTACACTTCACCTCAAGTTTTGCTACTCGTTGAACTCGGGGCACATTCATTTTAGCGCATACCTAGTTCATAAGTATGATTTTTTTTAAAAGAAAAAAAATCATACTTATGAACTAGGTATGCGCTAAAATGAATGTGCCCCGAGTTCAATGAGTAGCAAACCTTGAGGTGAAGTGTACGATATACATTGAAGAAGTGTATCACAAGTATTTTGAACTAAAGCATGTGCATAAAAAACAACCAGTTTTTCAATAGCAACTAGTTTTTAAATAGCAACCAGCATGTGCATAAGTATGATTTTAAAGGTTCGTTTGGGTATCAAGTTCAATAGCAACCAGTTTTTCAATTTATAATCTATTCGATAAAAGAAATATAAAAATAGTATAAGGATTTTAGTTCTATAACATGTGCATAAAAAACAATGCCGGTCTCATATAGATTATTAATTTTAATGTCTATGTATACAGCTATGTCCACGTATCCTGACTTTTAACAATTTTGATGTGTCCTGTATCCGCACCCATGTCCGTGTCACGCCCGTATCCGTGTAACATAGATTACAACCTATTGATATTCCAATCTACCCATTTCTTCTTCCTCTTAGTATATTTCTCCTCTCTGTCAAAGACAAACACATATTAGAAACTGAAAGTAATTCCAAATAAAGGGCGCAATTCCAAATAAAGGGCGAAAACAAAGGCATTGAAGAGATTATCTTGATCTTCTACTAATGACCTCTTTGCAATAGTCATGGGTATTTGGGTTTGGTGTGAAGAGAGGGGAAAAAAGGTATTGTAATAGTTTTGAGGAAGAAAAGCAACACTATTGAGGGATATTTTAGAGAAAAAGATAGAAAAATAATGAGTTTTGATCGTTTATTTGATAGGAGGGGGTATTGTAATGAAAAAAAATTACATTAGGGGCTTTCATAATAATTGGTCAAACTTGAAGGGGTTTCATAGTAATTAACCCATTTTGTATACATACCTTAACCTTTCTAAACTTTGAATTTATTGGAACTTGTGAACTATGTTGGCAAACGTAATATATGAATGGGTTATTATACGTATAATACCGATCCAGAAGTCAGTCAGCATGATTCTGTCACTATGCAAAAGGCCCATAGATGCACACAAGACTTAAAGTGAATCATACACAAAGAATCAATAAAAATAAAATGAATTAACCTTGTTGTTGGCTGCAATGTATGCTCTCTGTTCATAATATGGATAAGATGATACTTCCAAACTTGCAGTTACTGAGCATAGATTATTAATAGGTGGTCAAGAGGCTGTGGAGCATGTAACTAATCTGAAACAATGAGTTCAAAGGTACAGTGTCTTGGAACCATAACTAAATATTCAATTTTACAAATCGAAATCCTTATTTCTGAAGCTGCCAAAAAATAAAATAAAAATAAAAAAATAAAAAAAATTATATTTGCAGAGGCCGTGACAGTTGAGAACCTTGGAAAGATTTTTAGTTACTTGGGCGCATTTTTATTTTTATATACCAGGTTTTAGTGATATGAACATAAATTCTATTCCATTCTCTGCAGACAACAAAGCAGTACAAAGCAGGTTTTCGAAGAGAGAACAGAGTCATGTTCAGGCATTTCCGACACAAAGCATGTGGACTCATCTGAAGACGATGTGGATAAGGCTTGTTTAAGTGATTCAAATATGGTTCCAGATTCAGGGGACAACGAAGTTCAGTTAGCAGTCGATGGAGTCGAGATTCGTTCTATAGGTGAGACTGAGTGGAATGATTTCCAGTCAAACGAAGCAAGGATAGCTGATGTGAGAGAGATCTCCCCTGAAACTGAGGGAAACAGCTTAGATATCTCTGTCGTTAATCCTCAAGTTGAAGACCATCAGCATGGTGGTAACTCATAACCGTGATGTAAATTATAAAATTATTCATTTTCCTACATTGGGCTTTGCTATATAGTGTCAGTGTGTGACATTTGTTAGAAGAGAGCTCTATGGACTTTATTTTATTATCAGTAAAATATTTGATGATTGATAGAGATGATGTTACCATTCAATTATGTTTAGTAAGTGTATCTGATCGATTCACACAGGGATTGTCGTTTGACATGTGAAGAGCGAGTCACTCTTGCGGATTTTGTATTGATGAAAATGTAAAGTTTGCTTGAGCAAATGTTGTTTTGCTTGGAACAATCGTGAAGTTGAAATAATGTGTGTTGCACGCTCGTGCAAATTAAATATGATGCAGGTTGTGGTTTGCTATTGAAAATGTGGGGCAACTTAGGTATGTTTAACGCGCAATTAAGTAAAAACCAAATGCATTAAAATTTGCGTATGTTCAGATAGTTGAGAGACGCAAAGATCAAGTGAGGTTGGGAGGATACGCTGTTGGATATTTGGGCTTATCTATTCTAATAGGCTTCGGCCGCTACTTGCTCCCATGAACTATTTGTTTTGTTCCCTCAGACCTCCTGACCTCAATAGTCTCATTTATTTTGTTCCTTTATACCTCATGAACTCATTTTAGTCTCGTCTTACCTTCTGGACTAGCTAATTTATTCCTATTTATCCCCCTGAACTATTTTTAAGTGTCACGTTACTCACTAAACTATTCTTTTAGTCGCACCTTACCCCCTTGAATTATCGCTTCATCCATTTAAAATATCCATAAATTACTAAAGGAGAAGTGGTAACTTGGTACCAAAAGTGCGGGAATGAGAGACTAAAAAATAGTTAAGGGGGTAAAAGGGACGGATTTAATGCGGGAATGAGGGACTAAAAATAGTTAAGGGGGGTCAAAAGAAGACGGATTTAAATAGTTAGGGGGGGGGGGGCGGGGGGGGGGGGTATGGTGAGGCAAAAATTAGTTTTGGGGGTATGAAAGTACAAATTAAAGAGTTTAGGAAGGCAAGCAGGGGCTGATACCATTTTATTAATATTTGTAGTGTGATTTGAACCTGAACTTGTAAAATCTTGTTGAAATTCCACTTTATTAATTCCATCCCCTGTTATTTTCTTGGCCGTCAAAAGCTCCGGATAATATAAATGACCGATATATTCCTCTAAGTGTGCAAAGAAGAAGTTCTCAGAATCCATTTCTTTTCAAATTTGGCATCAGACTTTGTGAATTTGGTTTTCTTCATTTATCTCGCTTTTCCAAAGGCTTGTTTGCAGGTTATCACATGTTCAGATATTTCAATATTGCTCTTCAGTGTGAAGCCATTGAAATAGTTTCTGATAAAAGCTTTAACGGGGGTTTAATGTGCTTGGTTAACTTAGCAATCTCGGAAGCGATGCAAGGGGTTGGGCTTGTTATTATACAATTATTATAGAAAGGTAATACTTGGATTATAGTAAGCCATCTAATTACAATATCGAGTGGACTTTTCTCATGGCTAATTATTACCTGGGCCAGGTGGCCCATATTTAGTTCGCCCCAAAGGCAATGAAGTCAAAGTTCCAGGTCAAAGTAAATATATCAATCGAGCTAGCTTCTAGAATTTTGCTACAACAATGTCAAATGTTCTCTTCTCATTAAAGGGTGCTACTGTTGTAAGTGAAAGAGGAGAACATTTACAAGTAAATGGGAGAAATCGGGTCCAATCTAGAGTTGATGGGCCTTAAATAGAAGTTAAGAATCAATTTTAACCTAAAAACTATAATTATCAGGTATTGACCCAAACTCTTATTTAAAAAACTCATCACTCTTTCTTATTTTATCCAATGTAAAACTCATCACTCTTTCTTATTTTATCCGATGTGGGACTATACTCGCATATTAATCAACTCAACAACTCTCCCTTAATTTGTGAGTATATTTCAATTCAACTATAATTCAATCTTCCACGGAATTCACTAAGTTTTTGCACCACTTCACTCGTGGGCTAACCAATTCACAAACTTTTGACCCACTCCACTTGTGGTATAACCAGACAATGCATTCAGCACATAGCTATCAAACATCCGTAGGAACTTTCACCACTTCACTCATGGTTGAACTACACCTTCGGGCTTCACATCGAAGATCATCTATGTTTTTTTTAAACTAGAGTTAATGGGCCTTAAAATGAAGTTAGGAATCAATTTTAACTAAAAAACTATAGCTATTAGGTATTGACCCAAACTTCTATTTAAACTTATCACTCTTTCTTATCTTATCCGATGTGGGACTATGCTCATATATTAATCGCCTCAACAAGAGTTACTCTAGAAGTTAATTACGCAACGATACAAGCGACTATAGGCTTCCTACGTTTGACATTTCAGTTAAATAAAATATTACTTTTATTACTCAGATCCTTCCTACCTTTGACATTTCAGTTAAATAAAATATTACTTTTATTTCTCAGATGTTTTTTTTTCCTCTCAGGGTTATGTTATACTGTATTTTAACGTGAAATTATGAAGGACTTAGCCCTCAAGTAGCAATTAAATCTAGTTTTAAATTTAGATAGACTTAGGCATTAAACCTCTGTTTTCATGTCATAGACTCACTCGTGCATTCTTCTGCATGAGGACAATCTCTGTGGATAAAGAAGAATTGAATTATTCTTCTTCCTATTTAATTAGCGAGGGGGGGCGATTACCCAATGAACAAACACGACAGCATGACTCCTTTTCAACACTTTGATTTTGGCCGACAGCGAAATTTTGCATAAAATTCTACTGAGGCTAGAACGTTTGACATCTTCACCCTGGTCGAGACGTAAGCGACACACATCGCTTAATTATGATCCTTCGCTTTCCTCATTGCTGCTAGACTTGATTCAAACGTCGAATCAAGTTCATGGGATTGATGCACATCACATCATGTTATGCGTCCGTGTACTACATGTACACTATAATCCTCTTGTGTATAACGATATAGGATCCCTTTTCATAATATTTTCAACATTAGTTTATGGTAAATTTCATCCAGAAAAAAAAAAGAAAAAACACTTGAAGTTTGGCCTACTTTCCATTTTGAAACAACACCCAAAATTTATAAATATATCAGCTCCCTTAAAGTCTCCCAAAAGTAGCATGTGAAAATCACATGAGATAAAATAGCTACAACAGGCTTAATAAATTAAAAAAATTCCTGCCCTTTTTAGTACTTTTATGGTGTTTGGTAAGATTTTAGTTCAATTTCCCTCCTTATTCCCCTCCTCTACCCTTCTAAATGGAACTCCCAAATAAAAGTAAACCAAAAATTCCCTTCCCCTTCCCTTCTCTACCCTCCATCCAAACAAGCCATTAGTTCTAAAATCTATTATGAACTTGATTTATAAAAAATGTGAAACATACATGGAATCAAGATTGCACAATCAAATTTGATTATTGAAAGATTATTAAGAAAAGAGAGAGTTAATGGAGACAACGATATCATCAACTAACCTGAAATCATTGTATTGCTAATTTCCACCATTTTTTTTCTTTCATATATATATACACATCTTTCCATAAATCCAAGTTACGTCTGGACTACATATAGTCCAAGCTTTTGACAGGATTGCGAAAAGATTAAGAGGAGTAAATCTTAAGCGTTAGCATTATTGTTAGGATAAAGTTTTAATTTCGCAACATGTGGTTCCGTGTTCATCATTTTGTTGCGTGCAAGAAAGAATCATGGAAAAATCAGCTTAATTTATTAAAATTGCAAGCAGGATCCCAATTCTTGGGACAAAGTCACAAAGCTCTAGTGCGCGTGTGGAAACTCAGTTACCATGTGGTAATTTACCCGTCAAACATTAGATAGAGAAATGAGTGTTACTCCAAAGAATGAAAATGTGGAATTAACGAAAAAGACTGGTTTTATTTAAAAACATAAGTTTAAAATTATTTTTACAGTCTACACGTAACGAATGGCTAGATCTTATTTTTATTTAATGCAATCTCTAGTGAACATATTTTTATTAGAGAGTATCCCAATGTCTGCCACAATAACCTTGTCAAGTCTTTGGAGCTCAATGCTATATTTTCTTTAACAATCCTTATTTGTTATCAAAATTAACAAACATGTTTTCAATAAATAAATAAGATTGGTAAATCACGAGAAGGATATCATGAAATGTTAGACATTTTGACTAGCTAAAAAATATTCTTAAATAAACACTAGTATTAGTATTTGGGCGCACACGATGATGTGTGGATGACATAAAAGGTCCGTGAGTGTTGTTCTCAAATTGTCAAGGAAATAAATGCTTTATTAGATTTTGTGTGAGGGCATTTTCAAATTATTTTTCCAAGTGCAGGGGTATATCTATAGGTTTTTTATTTTTTATTTTTTTCCAAGGGTATGAGCATTTCCTTAAAATTTTAAGTGTAAGGGTGTTTTGGGTATTTTAATATTGTGGCTCACAGAAGTTAAAAGGGGAGCTTCTCTTAATGTATGGTACATTAAGGGTCTGTTTGGTTGATTTCCTAAAAACCAAGAAATAAAAATGAAAAGGTAGAAATCTCAAAAGGTACAATTTCATCCATTTCCATCCATAAAACTCACCCACAACATCCAATAAAATATTATTTTCATCCAACAACTCATCCACAATATCTAATAAAATATTATTTTTATCCAACAACTCATCCACCACATCAAATAAAATATTATTTTCATCCAACAACTTATCAAAACCACATCTAATAAAATATTATTTTCATCCACAACATCACTCAACTCATCTCATCTCATCATTTCAAATCATTCACATCATCCAATAAGATGATGACAACCCATCTCATCTAATTAAGGGGATGTTTGGATGCCTTTAGGAAACTAGAGTATTTATAATACAAAATAGAAAGTGCTTATCCACCTCACCACTTTTCATTCGAGTGTTTACATTGTTTGGTTAGGAATCTTTGTGAATCCTAAAATAATAGTATTACATTGTTTGGATAGTATAATGTAAACTAGAGTATTTATGACACAAAATGGAAAGTGGTTATCCACCTCACCACTTTCTACAAGTTTTGACTTTTTTATTATTTTTTTGGACACATTTATGACATTGTGTAAGCTTTCTAACAAAATCACTCCTAATTTTGGTGATTTTGCTTTCGGTG